CTGAGTGCCCTGTTGGTTACAGTGTTTACTTCCTTTTTAATTAGATTTTTATTAAATATTTATTTATTTGTGAAAAATGCTTTGTCTTCTAAAGTATAAGTATGTTTATTTTACACAATTATTTTTAATCCATTTTCAAATGATTTCAAATTTCTTAAATATAAACTAAAATAAATTAAATTATATCGGCTTTATATCGGCCACCCCGTTTTCCAAGATATCGGCATGAGCTGTCAAAAAACCCATATCGGTCGACCACTAATGTAAATATCAACAGTTTAGTAGTTAAATAGAGTCCTTGGTAAGAACAGGTATATCCATGATACAGGATTTGCTTTCAGCCATTAATATTGTGCACTAATTCCCATTAATAACCCACACGTGCACACGTTGTGCAGCAGTTACTGCATGAATCTGAGCTGCCTGTGGCAGACTCCCTGCATGCATTGCATTATTCCGCCATGTTAATAATGCAACCCAATATCTTTTAAAAAAGGCGATCTCGTGCGCTTATGAGCGCGTATTAATGGTTTTACCAAGAGAACTGAGGACGAAACTACTGATCATCAGCATCGTACTCACAGACCCGCGTTAAGCATTAGCATAACGCTAGCAGGCTACATATGAGAGGGAACAGAGAGGAAATGATGCTTTCCATTGAAAGAGATTTGCGTGAGAGTTGTAAATGTATACTTACGAAGAGATAAATATCAGCTGTCAAACGGGGGATTTCATGCGTTCTCTTGATGTTTTAAATGTCTTTAGATCTTCACTGTTGTATTGTACGTACAAAGCCTTTCGCCAAAGCAACAACGCGAATCGAGCTCCTGCTGCTTCCCGACAAGCTCGAGATGTTCTGCTGCACCCAGGTGTCCAGGAGGGAGAATACAGGGCCTTAAACACGACTGACCAAAAATACAAAACACAGTGGTTGAAAATAAGGAGTTAGATGATGTCTTAAACTTTATTTGTATGATATCCACAAAGCTAGATACCTTACATTTAAACCCAACTGCAAAATATTTTCTTCTGATCTACATGAACACTTCAAAAAGTCTCCTCTAATTAAAAAGCTCTGAAGACATCTCTTATTATAGAACGTTTTTTAGGTAACTTGTAATTTTTTTCTTTCCTTTTCTCTCTCCTTTGTATTCCCCATATGTTCTATGTTCTTTGTTCTATACTATTTGTTTCTTTTGTATTGAATTATATTTCTGCAATAACACAATAGGGAATTGTTCATGTGCAATTATTAAATAAATAGCAAATATTTATAACAGTTCAATTTGTAATATTATAAATAATAAATTATATGATTATAAATTATAATTTGTGTATTATTATAAAGTGTTTTATAAAGTTGACTCGCATTAAGCAATAAAGCAACAGTTTATATCAGGACAGAATAAACAGTTATTTTACATTCATGCCCACCATAAATTATATAACCACTTTCATGCAATACACAAAATATATTAATTTAAAACAATGTGGGCAGGAAAACTGGGAAAAGGGTATGAGAAGATAAAAATGTAAGAAATAAACAATTTAAAAGTTTTATTTAAAAACATAGTGTTTTGCTTTTTTTCAAACCAAGAAGTAACTCAACATAGTATAATATAAAATATTAATATATTTGTCAGTGCATAAAGTATCCCCATAATACAAGATTGAACGGTGTGAAACAGTGTTGTGTGTTATTTTGCAACAATTAATTTTGAAAATCTATGTTTGCAGGTACACATTCAATGCTGGAGCAAATATAATGCCGTTTTCCATCCATTTACCGGTATATAAAAAATTATGTTATATGCCTATTATTTCACATTATACCGTATAGTTATTCTTTATAAGAGAGCAAACAGCAGAGCATAACGAGTCTAGTAAAGTCTATGTATCTCAATTCAAGTGTATTTTAATGATACTAAAAATTACATTTTTGGATAAATGTGCCCTCATATTAAATAATAATACTAATAATAACAAGAGAAAGAAGAAGAAAAAGAAGAAGATGATAAGCGATTAAATATGAAATATTTATCAAATATCAAAGGCGGTGATCTAATCAGCATCGCCACAAATACGGACCTTTATTTTGAAAACATAATATAGAATATTCTACTTCCAGTATCCCCCTGCCATTTGAAGGCTGTAGCAGTTTGTGGCTTTCCAAGCAAAAATCATACATCTGTTCGCTTCTTTAAATAGGTTTTCCAGTTGAAAGGGATGTTTCGTAGAAAGCTTACAGCCTTAGACTATCACAACCCTTCTGGATTTGACTGTAAAGGTAGGAAGTGAATGACACGTTGCCACCTCATGCTCCTATTATTGATAATGTACATCACGATAATAATAAGTAAGCATCCCACTATTTTAGGTTTGAATTGCCTGAAATAGTCACTCTGTATCATCGGCATTTAGTCTGTCATATTGCTTTAGTGCTGCATTGCTGTCATGATGATGGAAATGAGGGCTAAATCCATATGCAAAATGTATTATTAATATCGTATGTGCTCTTTACCCAGATGAAACTGAATTCAAAAATTTCATAGTTTGGCTGGAAGATCAAAAAATCAGACACTACAAAATTGAAGAACGGGGAAATCTCAGGAATATTCCAAGCTCAGACTGGCCTAAACATTTTGAAAAGGTGAGACAGATTTATCTTTATATATGTATATGTCTAATGTCTGTTTGAATACCTAAAGGAATTAATACCCTCAAGTTTATCATGTCCTTTGTTATTATATATAAATACATGTATGTTTGCAGTACCTTCAAGATGTGAACTGTCCATTCAGCGCTCAGGAAAGACAGGAGACTGTTGACTGGCTACTGGGTCTTGCTGTTCGTTTTGAGTATGGAGACAATGGTATGATTATTATTTATTTGAAAGTATAACCAGTGGTTGACTACTATAGTTCTTTTAATGGCTGATACAACATTCAGAGAGTAGGCTGGCACATATTACACAATACAATAATGACATTTATAATGTTACAGAAGATTTCTGTTTCCAATAAAGACTGATCTTTTGAACTCTCTATTCATCAAAGAATCCTGAAAAATTCTATCATGGTTTCCACAAAAATATTAAACATCGTTGATCATAATAAGAAGTTTCTTGTTCATCAAATAAGCATATTAGAATGACATTAGACATTAAATGTAAATTCAACTTTTTTTATCAAAGGAATAAAATATATTTTAAAATATATCCAAATGGAAAACATTAATTCATTCATTAATGCATTTAACTAACTAACTGTTTTTGGAGTCTTGGTGAGCATAAGAAACTGTATTGTATGAATAAGAAAATTAGATGAACACTTACACACTATTTGCTCTCAAAAAACAAAAATTAATTAGTCAAGTGAACACAAAATGACCAATTATTATTATAACATGCTGCCTGTTCTGTCCTTTTATTATGATCAATCCCACACCACTAGATGGCAGTATTTGCAAAGTTTGCATAACATGTAACTTTTGCAGCTGTCCCACACATTTGATTGCACAATCTTGATTCCATTTATCCTCAGAAATGCTTAATGCAAGATATTCCTAGATGTCCTACCAAATGATTTTGACAACTTGAGACCCCTTGTTTGCATTGCACTGACCGCTTATGTTATTTTTCCTCCCACAGTGGAGAAATATCGAAACTGCAAACCTGCGACGGAGGCCAGTGATGATCAAAAGTCTGTAGACCCATTAATTAATCTGGACAGTGAGTATTCCCTCCCCCGACCATCTTTCCAGTCTCCAGTCCTGTTGTTATGAGACGGAGGAGGCCGATTAAAGAAACCACCTTGAGCACTAAAGTCTGAATGAACTGATTACACACCCACCTCTCTCCACAACCCACAATGAGTGGGCTGAACCGAGCCAGTGACCCACAGCTGGAGGAACGCTCCAGATGTCATCTGAATGATGACACGCAGGGAGGAAAGGGCTCACTGAACAGAAATATTGGGCTCCGCTGTTGTTGTTTTTTCTTTATTACAGTCTTGGTCTAAGTGTTTGAATTGTGAATTGGGAGGTGGGGGGTGAGTCCAAATTGTGAGATGTAAACTCAGAATTGCAAGAAAAAAGATTTTATTTCTTTTTTAAATGCATGGTGGAAACAAACTTTCAAAGGTTTCGATCAACCAATCGCAAAACCATGGCAACATTATTTTCAGAGATCATCACCAAAGAGTTCCTTGGTTGGTTCAACAACAGTTTTGCATTGGAAATTTTTTTTTTTTCAAATTATGTGTTGGACTGAAATGAAGTGATTTCTCTCTTTAGGTAACAATCCAGATTTTAAGGCTGGTGTATTGGCTCTTGCTAATCTACTCAAAATTCAGCGGCATGAAGACTATTTGGTAATGCTTAAAGTAAGTATCTTATTTGTGCCAATAGTACGAAAAATTCGTCTATATCCAGTGCATTTTAAACTGAAATGATTCTGTTATTTCTCATCACAGGCCATTAGGATCCTGATACAGGAACGTCTGACCCCTGATGCTATTGCAAAGGCCAGTCAATCAAAAGAGGTAAGCATATAATGGCTTTATGAAATTAAATCAATCTGCTAGACTTTTTAAACCTGGATTGATAAACAGCTACACTACCATATAAAAGTTAAAAAAAAAAAAAAAAGA